ACTCAACTCAGTTAAGTGGAACCAGGTAACATAACATGGTTAAGTAAATCCAACATTTCATTTTTTACAGTGTAGTTTCTCCATACAGGAGGCGTCTTGAAACTGTCAATGACAAAAAAGGCTTTTGTACAAAGTATTAGATAAATTTCAGTAAGTGTGTTCAATACTTTTTCCTTGTGCCATTCCACTTATTACAAATAACTTAATTTCTGGATATTTATGGTTTGACTTCTTTGTATGTATGGATCACTTGGGTTGTTACCAACATCTGGTGAAAATTTCATGTCATTAGTACCTCTAGAAATATATTTACTGAGAAAAATGGTGACGTGTTTAATACTTATTTTACCCTCTGTATTTCTTATCGCTGCTCTGCTCACTGAAACACCTCCAATAACTTACATCATGTTAGCGGTTTCCCTTTCTTTAAGAGCTGTGATGTCACTGCAAACTGGTACAACGTATATCAGTGACTATCATTTTATTACCTGGGAGATAATGTTTATGAAGTAATCACTGGGTGTACATCTACAACTGATTGCCCAATGGAATCAATTTAACTCAAAATGCCTTCCAAAGCTAATTAACATTAACATCTAAATGACTGTATCTTAGTCATGTTTATTGTTACTAAGCTGAAATTTAATGTGGTAGTAGCTGAGCATCTTCTTCAACACATACTCTAAGCCAGGGGTGCTCAAGACACTTGGGTCTGGGGATCCCTTACAAGGGCGAAAAAAAAATTCCAGGGACCCCCTCATAAACCAAATGCTGCTTTAAAAGATAATTTATTGTCATTTCAACCCCTAAATGCCATGGGAATATATATATTTTATTAAGTTTATTATGTTTGTTTTATAAGTTCATTGTTCTCCATGCATTTTTAAAAATAAAAACCAAATTAACATTTTAGTAAAAATGTTTGAGGTCCCCCAAGATACCTCTCGCGGACCCCAGTTCAAGAACCTCTGCTCTAAGCCAGTTGGTCCCAAAGTGGGGAAATCTACTGCTAGCATATTGACAGGTTTTTGATGGCACTCCCATGTAAATGCAGAAAAGTGAGGATTTAAAGTGTAATTCTTGACTTCTCAGGGAATTTGTCATGTTTTTAAACCCATTTTGCAATTTTTCTGAGTTTATTTTTTACTTATTTCTTGACAAAAGTAAAAATAAAAATAAAAAAGCAGTTGCCTACACAAAAGTTGTTACGCCATAAAGGTGGTTTGTTTTTTAAAGAGGTGGTTTATTTCATGGCCACCTGTAATAAATTTCAGTTTGCTTTTATTAGTTCAATTATTCAAAAAAAGGCTGTGAACTAAACTGTAATAAAGTTGGGAAACAAAATATCTGTGTCTGGTTGGAGGTGTGGGACCCAGCAGAAATAGCTTGCATGAAATCTCAACAAGCCATAAGATGTTGTGGAAAGTCATTTTTGTTTGATCAAAACAGCTAAAAGGAAACATTTTTTCTCATTACAAGATGATCTGAGTTTAAAACTCTGACATTAGTTGGTGGCTGACGACGTTAATTCTTTCAAAACTTCTTAATTGCAATAAGATGCTTTAACATATAAACTACATTAGCTCACCAGCTCATTGCTGCTTCTGTGAGAAACCGCTTGATGCAGAAACATACAGGTCATTGACCGATGGTTACCTCCTGACCGATTCTCCACAGCATACGAGCAGTCGAGCTGGGCGATAAAGCTTTCTGTCACCAGCAAAGGTTTACACTCAGATAAACTCTGTTGAAGCGAGAGGTGAAAGACACCCAGTGACCTCGTTTTACTGATCCATGCTGTTTGATCACCGTCACGTAGAAAATCATCTCAGCCTGGACAACCAGGTTTTGGTTGTTTTTCCACATTTCTATTCTATTTCTGATCATTTGTAACTATGGGTAACAGCACTAGTTTGATACTGAACAAACCTTTGAACTCATCAGCTACACTCCTGCTTTTGTAATTTTGTTGCTAAGTAAGGGAGTCTTACAATCTGTGTAGGCGTGTTTTCACTGCTGGTTTCAAATGTTTTTTTTTTTCTTTTGCTGCACAAAATCTACAATGTAAGTTATTTTATAATTATAATCATTTAATTCTGAAGTCACTTGTGTAAATGTGTAAAAACAATATCTACTTTAAAGCGAACGTGTTAATCAGGTTATTTGACTCATGATGTGTTCATTACACCTGTTATAGTAAAATAATAGCAGAATAATAAACATTTATGAACACCTATGTCATATGGAGCTGAAGACTGGCTGATAAACTCATCTTTAGAGATGTTTTTACTGCGGGGTCAAAGATCAAATTACACGTAAACTTTTGCAGCTCAGTCGTTAACACTTTATTTAAGAAAAACTCCTGTAAATAAGTGTTGGTTGGATTTATGTTTAGAACAAAATCACGTTTAGAAAGTGTCTTCAACCTTGGTCACAATCGTGAGTTTCTGATTTGATCTGATTGTGTTTTTCAGCCAATAGATGTGCTGAGATACAGGTTCAGGTTATGTAATACCTCTGCTCCTTCTGAACAGAATATAAAAAACTGAAGTGACAGATGTCAGCCAGCGTTTGTCGGGTAGATTCGTACTCACAGTCCGCAGGCAGCCGTCCTCAGGACGAGAGCTTCAGGTAGACGAGTCCCACCGAGACAAAGCTGCTGGATGTTGAAGTAAGTCTGTGTCACAGCGGATCTGATTCATGTTCTTTTCTTTGGATATTGTGAACTTTGGCCTCTTGGCTTCAGGCTCAGAGCGGGACACGTCCTCTGCTGCCCAGCCCCACTTCTGCTCTCCTGTTGAAGACTTGAGCTGATCCTAAATTCTCCTTTTGTTCCTTTTCTGGGCTGTTTTGAGCTTTTTCAGCAGATTTTCTGAGCTGCATTTGAAGATAATTTGAGAGCTGAAGCTTAGTGAAGTGTGGTTAATGTTTGTATTCTGGCCACAGTTTTAAAATGTTTAATTTTGAAAGTGTTTACCTGTACTTTTTTATGAGGAAAAAATTATTGAATTTTGAAGAATACAACACCTGTTCTTCATTCTGTTTAATTTGTTTCGACCAGGACAGAGATTTAAGATACTAAATAAACAAGAAACCACAGATACATTTGTCTTTAAGATATAAATTATCAGCAGGTTCATTGTTCTGTGACAAGTTATCCTATCAGACAATACAATAAATTTGATCTCATCTTACTCGTAACTTTAAAAAAATCTTTTGAAACTGTTATCTATTTCACCAAACATGCACTAAAACAAATCCAGAGTTGCTTCAAACCAACCCTCCAAGCTGATCTCAGGCTAATTAAATGTTTATTATCAGCAGTTAAAAACATATGTTAATTTATAGAAACACAGTGAAACAGGTTCACAGTGAAAATTGTGCTTAAAAACACAATTTTGTGCTTAAAAACACAATTTTCACACATTTTAAAGATAATATGTCCAACACGTTTCAAACATGTGTTGAGCAATGTTTTCCTAACGTTGTACAATCAGTTGTCTCACTTTTCAACTGTTTAAATATTTAACTTGGACAATAAATAGGACAACACTGCAAAAACTGTCCATCTTACCAAGTTTTAAAACCTTATATCCAGCCAAAAAGTCTTTTTGATCTTGTTTTGAGACTGATTTACTAAATAAGAACTGATTGATCAAATTTTCAGGCTAACAAGACAAATAACCTTAAACATTCTGAAAACAAGATTATTATTCTTACACAATCAGTTCTTGTTTAGTAAATCAGTCTCAAAACAAGATCAAAAAGACTTTTTGGCTGGAGATAAGATTTTAAAACTTGGTTAGGTGGACATTTTTTGCAGTGAAACTATATTGATTTGAAGCTAATTTGTTTTCCAAAAATAACCTGTACAAAGAACATTTATTACATAACTTTGAAAAACATCAAGATAATTTAACAAACAGATATTAATGATTAATTAATGTGTTTTAAAGTTAAAATTGGTTTTATATCAAAAAGAAATAACTTTTTTTAAATAAAAGAAAATAAAGATAAGGCAGTGAAAGTTTATGAGCACAGGATTTATTGAAATGAGTTTTCATGGGATAACAAAGTAGCTACAGAAAAAAAGCACTCCATGCACTAAACCACACGCTATAAACAAACCAAACGGAGCAACGCACAACTGTACAAACAAACACAGACGTTTTGTCTCCATCTTCTTCTTTTGAAATAAATAAATAACTCCTGCCGTCTTACTTCTGCATTTTCTGAAGACAGTCTGACATGATTTACCTGCCAGATTATTTCCTCTTACATTTACAGTAAGACAAAATAAAAAGTACATAAAGTCATCCAAACATTTACAGCTTTAAATGCAACCAGAGTACATGTGAGGTGAGCCATTTTAACACTTTGTATTCAGTGCATGGTTTCTGTAGGTTTTGTAAACACACTTTACTTCGAGTTTAATCACCATTTTGGATTATTTTTAAAAGTCAGACTGAACAACTTGCAGCGTTACAGCAAGGGGAACAAACAAAAAGCATTACAAAAATATAAAGGCTTGCATACTTTTTTTTTTCCAGTCACAGAATGAGTAACAACTTTCTGTTAAAGAGGGGAGAAGGGGGATGGGTCGTTTTTATTTAAAATTTGTGACATTATGATGGTTTAAAATAATAATTCATAACTTCAAATAGTTGAAACCATAAATTGTGTTTCAAGTCTAAGTGTGACGCATTTAAATATGTTTTAAGCTACTAAAAAAAATAAAAGTTTGTGAAGTTTGCGTCACGCGTCTGCATGGATTTGTGTCAGCTTCCTCCGACAGAACAAACAAAATCTGGTTCGGATAAATAGGGGAAAGGTTTCTTTATGCTCTATGATTGGATGGAGCAGGTTATAAGCCGCTTCTCAGCTCCTATCAGCTGGGATCAAATCCAGTTCCTCTCACAGCCTCCGAACAACACACTAAAAAACCTCATGATCAAGATGAGATTTAAATATTGTGATCAAATTGAACAAATCCCTTAATAGAAATGTTTGTTTTTCCTCTCAAGTTAAAACCGATTTCTTCATTTTGCATTTTGCAGGCTATTATCTGGTTATTAGTCAATTTGATGTTTTTTGCAGCGATCCCTCCACCGTCACCCTGGACTCTCTCATCCTGACTGTCTGATCAGGAGGTCGACAGAGAAAGTGCGACGGGTTGTTTGGAGCGAGCGCCTTTATCTGCTCAGATATCTCTGACTTCACCCACCACAGGACTTTAACACTTATCTGTTCTGTCAAAGGTCGCAAACCATCGCTGGCACTGGTTGATGCCATATCTCAGTGCGCGTATGTGTCAGACAGAGTGATAACCTGCAGTAACCTCAGCACACCGTTCAGCTGAACCTACTGGCTCCAGGTTACGGCAAAGCAACAGCCTCTTTATTAGACACAGAAACGACTTCATGAGCAAAGAACGGCAAGTCGTCATCACTTCAACAAAAGCACGATGGCAGCAGCACACGGACACACATCACATTGCAAGTCTTTGTCACGCTAATTTTAAAAAATGCATGTAAAAATACTTTTACAGGTCGACAAAATACAAATATTTCACATTCGTAAACTGGTATAAATAAAAAATAAACTGCGAGCAAATAAATAGAGTTTCATATTGAGCGAATGATAAATATTATATATTTTTTCTAACTAAATCTAGAAGTATAAAAATAGTTGCTACATATATTTTTCCACATTGCCATGCTCCTGGATGAAGTGATATTTAATGTTTCATATACAGTACAATCCTTGGCAGGCAGTTTTCTGGTGATAAAGTACAACTTAAAAGTTTTTTTTTCTTACAAATGCAAGAGTCCACTGAAACAACCTGACTTCATGTTTAAACTCATAGTTCAAATACAAGTTTCTTTTTCCTAGTTTAGTTTAGTTTATGCAAATGTGGTTTGTAGGTCTGACATGCTGAGGTGACATTTATCAGTCATTTTATTTTAAACAATGTTCTTACTGGCTTCCTATTTTATGTCTATAGGTTCCTCTTTATGAGTAAGGAAGAGCCAATGCATCAAGTTTTTGTTTCAGCTTTTTCCAAAAAACAATGAAATGTTTTTAGATATATTCAAAATAGAAAACCTTTGACATGAGATGTTTTGCTAAATAAAAGAACATATTTGTTACGAAAGCTGAATAAATTATAAGAGGAATAATTTTTGTTGGCAACCTTAACAGGTGTGTGATTTATCGTTGTTTAATGTTTAAATGTGAAAATTAGCTTTAAAGGGGACCTATTATGCAAAATTCACTTTTTAAATGTTTTTTTACTCAACTTTGGGTATGTACTTCTTAAAAAAACAGTCCTAGGACCTAAAAAATGCACCCAGGGGCATATTTACTGTAAGTAAATGTATTTTTAATATATATTAATGACAAGTTTATACTTCTGTCATTTTGTGATGTCACAAGCCGTACGACAACCCACCAGAACCTGCGTTCAGCCCCTTAACTTGCAATCCCCGGGTGAGGCTCCGCCTCCTCAGTATAAAAAGCCATCACCGTGTTGTTGTATAATGTGCAGCTCATTTCACAACAAGCCTCCAATAGGGCAATGGGTAGAGCGTTGGACCAGAGAGTGGGAGACTAGGGTTCGGGACTGGCACGGACACACTTTATTTAGTTTCATTCGTTATGAACACGTTTTCTCATGTACCTCTATTGTTTAGCTTTAGCCTATTTGTTCGAGTTTCTGAGGTATTTTCACCGCTGCTGCTCCCTGCTCTGGTAACAGCATGCAGAGTGAGCACAGAGCTCCAACACAGGAGGAGGGGGAGAAAAAAAAAGCTGCGACCGACTCTGCCTCTGGGTCTGACAGAGTCTCAAATATATGGTTGTACAACGGAGCTTCTGCTATTATTAGCCATGCTAACGTAAACGCTGGCTTTGGAGGGCGGAGTTAATGTCAACAGAGCTCATTAACATAAACAGCTCTTCTGAACAGAAGTCAGAGCAGGCAGAAGTAGAAAATGGGAAATTTTATTATCTGAGAATTATTTTGTGCATTAAATTGAATGAACATGGTCTGGATAGCCCACAGACATACCATAAAAATTTCTAGGACCCATGATTGGACTCCTTTAAAACATTCACTTGTTAAACTCAAACTGATCCACAGATCAGGTTTCATGACTCACTTTAAAGGTGAACTGTTTCGTTTTTCTGGTCTGCAACTCACAGTGCTGAATGATTTCAAAGGATACATTTAACAAAATTGTCAGCTTTAAGCTTAAACTCCAGATTGCTCTAGATGTGAGGTCTTCGGCTTTTTTTTTTTTTTTTTTTTTTTTTTTTTTTTTTTTTTTTTTTTTCCCTGTTTTTGTTTAATTTTTTTTTTGTTTCTTTTCAAAGGCCAACACCAGGAATCGGACCAAAACTGGCTGATTTGAAGGACGTTCTTAAAGGAAGAAAACTTTTAGCTTTCATAAAAAAAACTGTTTTGTTTAGGACTGACTGGTAATCTAAGTATAAACTTTAAAAAGAAAAAAAATAGTCTGTAAGGAAATAATTTTGGTAACTAAAGATTTCCATTTTTCATTTTCAACTTCTTTGTGGTTAAAGTCATATTGACCACTTCTCTATATCTTACACACAGAGAAACAAACGGGCTGAAAACATTAAATAAAATCTCCAAGGAACCAGTTTTTATTTAATAAGTTTAACTCTAGTTTTTTTTTAATGATTATTGATAGAAATGATAATCTGGGCTCCAAAATCTATTATCTATTATCCAAACATCACTGAAGGTCCTAAAATCTGATCAGCTGACACCAGCTTATATTTTGTCTTTGGACAGACAATAAATGAAGGAACTGAGTTTTATTTATTTGTTTTTAGAACTGAGAATAAGCCCCTCAGATTCAATCTAAAGGAGAGGGGAGGATATATTTCTGTTTTATGTCCTAAAAATGAATTTAAAATAAACAATGAAATGATATTACATCGATCATTTAAACTTTCCAAACCCCAAAGCAGCCGTACTTTACAGAAAATAAAAAAGAAACATTGGTGTGTTGCAATGTTTTAAACCGAGGCTGGGGAAAGAAATGTTCGCCAAAACTGCACATCTTATCTGTAAAATAAAGGAATATTCAGTATTTTCTGTCTCTCTTAAGAAAAATGGAGGCAGACGTGCCAGTGTTTGGTTTTAGGGCTTTGGATATGATTAAATGAATTGTTTATAGAAACCTAAACCTTTCTTTTTACTTTGTTTACCATTCATATAACATTTTCTGTTGTAGGGACTAAAATATTTAATAGAATGTTGCCTCACCAAGTTTTTTATCAGGTATTTTCTTTAAAAAAAATCTGAAGAACATCAAAATCAAACATGCAGCAAAAAAAATAAATAACAGTAAAGTAAATAGTGTTCTACACTTTCTTTTGTTTTTTTGCTACACCTGGAAAACCTTGTTTTCAGATAATTCATGTGTTTAATAATGTATAAGATTGACTTGTCACCCCTGACTGCACTGGTTTTGGCTGACTGCCTTCTAGTTTTGGTCCTTTCTGTATTTGAAGTCATGAGGACGGGGCGCAGCAGCAGGTGCAGGCTGCAGCGATACCCACTTCCATCCAACCAACGCTCAGAGAAGAGGAGACAGAATCAGAGAAGAGCAAGCAGAGGCTTCAAAAGAGACACAAGAAGATTGTTGACAACAGTTGAGAAGAGGAGAGGGAAGGAAAAAAAAGAAAAAAGTTTTCTTTTCTGGGAGGACAGAGACCGTCTGCATGCAGATTTACAGAGGAGGCCTCAGACACCCGTCTGCCTGCAGAGAGGAAGAGTCAGAGACACAGAAAGGGAGCGTCGGAGTGACAGTCAGATGCATTTGAGAAAAACACAGCGAGAAAAACGGGAGAAAAAGAAAAGACAGCTGCCTGTGAGTCATGCTAACAGTGCCAGAAGGTACATGTCGTGTTACGTCTCACATTTTCACTGAGTTAGCTAATTTTGGAAACTGCACAAGCTTAACTCTACGGCCAGAGTTACTGCTGCTGCTTCTTTTTATTTTTTTAAATAAAGGGACAAGTTAAATCTGCAATTCAGTACTTTCAACACACAAGACTGTCACAAATGGACAATTTAATTGTTACTTTTCAAAGTTTTTTTTGTGCATTTTATGGTGTTTACATAAACTGGGATTTAAAAGGTTATTACTTTCAAACCAAATAAATCAGATTTGAAAGTATCCACAGCAGAACACTGAGCTTCCATACGACAAATCAAAAATACATAAGAGACAAAAACGTTTTTCATCACTGAATGCAGTCCCAGTTGGCATTTTGAAGGTATTTTTTTTGTTCTGAGAAAAAAAAATAGTAATAATAATTTGACATACTGTAAAATAAAAAGCTATGCAGTACTTCTGCACAGTAGCTGCTTCAATTTTCTTCTAATTTCTGACTGATTGTCTTATACGGTAATAATTATTCTTATTCTGTTTTTGCTATTGTCACATAGTTGTGTATTGATGTGTGTACCTGCTGCTGCTGCTACACCTGAATTTCCCTGCGCGGGACAATAAAGGCTGTTTCTATTCTATTCTACTTTTGAAGAAATCCATTAAAGTTTAAAAGTCCTGAAGGCCAAACAAAAGTTTTCTATTTGTATGTAAGCAGTAAGTTTGTGCAGAAAGCCTTGATTTGACATTCATTCATGCACACTGCACTGACAAAAATAAAACAAATATAAATTGCCTTTTATGTAAGGTTCTTCCTGCATATCTTACCTGCTCAGGGGCATTAGCTGGCCGAAGCCTCGGGCTTCAGGCTGAAGAGTTTAGCTGCATCCTGATTGTCGCAGACATCAGTTCTGGACACAGACTCCACGTTCAGACACATGCTAACCAAAGCATCAGTAGCAGTAGCGGCGGCAGCAACAAGAGGGCAGCAATGGAGCAAAGAGAGACAGCAGTTAGGAAATCAGTGCTGGCAACACGTTCGTAACACACAAACGCTAGCAGGGCACACACGCACAAAAGAACGTGGCAATGCCTAAAGGCACACTTTATCTGTTACTGACAAAATATGTAATCGCTGTTTTGAGTTCCTGTGTGTCACTTCTGGAGCTCAAACTGTGACCTGCTCATCTCCTAAGCTCCGGTTCCTACAAATCCCCTCACAAAACACGGCTTTCAGTTTGAGCCTGAAAAACGTGAAGCCCATTCTTAGACAACCAGCAGCAGCTGAAAACACAAAAACACATGGACAAGTCTTACCTGTTGTCATTAATATCCGTGGTGTTTCCTGTGAACAGAAACGGCAGCATTAGGACACAGTCAGGTTCAGATATCAGGATGTGGATCTAATTATTACATCCATTGAAATCGCTGGCTTTGGCAGCAGTCAGTAATCGAACAAACCCATCAATAAGGAAACAGCAAGATTTTGAGATTTTTTCACACATTTTGTGAGCAGTAACGAACGCTCGCTTGTTTTCTACAGTCAAAAAGAAGCAGATAAAAGCAAAATAAAAATGAACTTTAAGTTGGACCTCATGCTCTGTTTTATTATATCTGCCTGGATGAGAGCAGAAGCACTGCTGCCACTATTTATTATCAAATAACCTCAGAGACCAGAGGGTTTGAAACTCCCATCCTCTTTTATTAAAAATGCTCATTAAAAGCACATCCCTCTTAAAAGCTGCCTTTACTAGTCGGAAATCATTACAGTAGAAGAGCACTTAGCTTGAATAATGGCGCCTGATTTTTTTTTTTTTTTTTTTTTTTTGTATTTCCTGGATCATATTTACATTCTGCCCAGAGAACTGAATTTATTTTTCCAGGTTCCTGCGAGTCCTGCAGCAGTTGGTGTCTTGCTCCAGCCCCTCTGAGGCATTCGTTCACACTGAGGTTTGCCGACAAAGATTTATCCAACAAAACAATCGCCGTCTGACTCGACGTACTGACAGCTGGACGCAACAAAAAGCTTTCAAGTGCTGCTTAATTTTTTTTGTTTGTTTCTTGAAATTTAATGTGATGCACAGAGGCATGTTAATTTGATTCGTGTGCAATTTGATGAGATTTCATGCTCGGCTGGTTTATAAGGCTGTTCATTTTAGTTGAATCCCCCCTCCCCTCCAAAAACAAAAATAAAAAATCATTGTGACAGGCCATGAAAAATCCTACACTGTCAAGGGAATATTTCTTGTCAAGGCTCCACCGAACAGGCTACGGAAGAAAAGCAACAAAAAAAAAAAAAAGAAAATTTGGGGGCAGACCTGGCAGAGCCATTTGGCTTTGAGAAGTACATTTTCCCACAAGCTCTTATTGAAATTCATGACGCTGAGTACAAGAGGGGAAATTGCTTTGGAGGAACGAGGACTAGTGGCCTCGCAGGTTTGACCCAGTAAATAAATTGAACTGAATACAAACTACTTCGGTAATAACAGTAGAAACATTTACAAAAAATTTAAAAAAAAATAAAAAATTCACAGCAGCTCGTGCTGAGCACAACATCCGACGTGGAGAAGAATAAAATAATTTATTATGATTAAACCTTAAAAAGGTTTCTCAGGACAACTGCAGCCACACATGATATATTTAATAAAAGGGCAGAAACGTTTGCAGCGAGCTGATAAAGCGGTTCTAATCCGGTTTGTGACTTTTATTGATATTCTCGGTGAACCAAGGAGGTACGAGGCTGTTGCACAACTCCAACACTGTCATGGCCGGGGTCAGAGGCTGAGTCGGACCCCCAAGCCTGTCTGAGTAATGACCCTGCAAGCCCAATCTATTTCCACTGCAGCCTGCCGCTGATGACACACAGACACAAACTGGAAAAAATGAGCAAAAAACAAAAATAAAATCCTGAAGCGGCCGGGGACATAGCTGACCGTACAGCATCTTGGTAAACTTTAAAACATGACAGCCTGTATATATATGGAAACTGTATCCAAAGACAGCTGACCTACATGGAAATCCTCCAAAACTTTAGCAGACTGACAGTTAAAATCTATTAACTATGACGAAAGTTGACTGTGGAGACAGAAACGGGATGATGACAGCGAGGCTATAAACATTAACAACCAGCGCTTTGAATCAGAAAATAAAACTGAACATAGTAGCTGCGATGAAGTGATGGGCGTCACTAAATTATGCTCATAAACGGAATAAGTTTACGATCAGGGTTAGAACGTTACTACATTATTTATCTGTTTGTGGCTCACCGTTTTCTGAATCGAGCATCTCTGAAGATTTCACCGCCGCTCTCGGAGGTTCAGCCGGAAGCCTGCGCAAAATTACAAAACAGATCCTCATTACTGATGCTGTGTGTGTGTGTGTGTGTGTGTG